CATTTCTTCAAAAAGCACCACCCACAATTAAGAATTCTAATCTCAAAAACTGAAAATTTGATAAAGTAATTCATTCAAGTTTTGAAGATCCGTAGAGGGAAGAAACTGTATCATGGCGAGTTTGTGAGAGGCGGAGCGAATATCAGAGAAGGGGGCATCCTTGCCTTACGAGGCCAAGAACTAAGTAGTAGTTAGAAGATCCAGCGGTGGAACCTCCTTCTTTTCCATCCAATGTTTTTTTATTTTGTGTGACGACCTGCCACGAAAGATCAAATCATAAAGAAACGAAACGAAAGAGAAATGAAAGAGAGACACTGAGCACTCTGCTTTAATGTACAAAAAGCTATGTTAAAGAATAATCAAAATCAACCTTTTGTGAAGAGCCGAAGTTTATGACAGAATATTAATAAAAAAAGACTCACAAAAACAATAATGTTTTATTTATTTATTTTCTATTTTTGAAATTGTTTAATGTTTGTGGATGACTACAGACCAATCTTAAGCAATGTTGAGAAATGAAAACAATGGGTCAAAAGACAAAGAGACAAGAGAAACAATAAGAAGAAGAATCACAATGATGTTTGTTCATTGAAAAACACCAGTGAATCTGCACCATTATTATTCGAAAACGACTTACCTAAGCCCAAAGCAGCAATTTTTTTTTTTTTAATTTATTTATCGGGACTGCATTTTGGAAGGCCACTCTAATCAGTTGATGAACAACATTTGCAAGGGTGAAGTGAAGGAAATTGAAGGGGTGGAGAGCTCAACCACTCCATATCCGTCTATTGATTTCTTGAGGTCGGGGTATCATCAAGTAAGAGTGGCCGAGCAAGATATAGCTAAGACTGCTTTTCATACAAGATATGGGCATTATGAATTTGTGGTGATGCCTTTTGGTTTGACCAATGCCCCAACAGTCTTTATGGATCTAATGAACAGGGTGTTTCATGATTGTCTTGATCAGTTTATAGTGGTCTTTATAGACGATATCTTGGTTTATTCAAAGTCAAGAGAAGAGCATGAGGAACACTTAAGATTTGTGCTGCAGCGATTGAGAGAAAAGAAGCTATATGCCAAATTTTCCAAGTGTGAGTTCTAGCATGATCAGGTGATATTTCTAGGCCATACTGTTTCTTAGGAAGGAATTTCCGTGGATCCTAGTAAAGTAAAGGCAATCTTAAAATGGCAAAGGCCGAAGACAGTAAAAGAAGTGAGGAGTCTCTTGGGACTAGCAGGTTACTACCGAGGATTTGTAGCAGGGTTTGTCCAGTTGGCAAGACCGTTGACGGCTCTTACTAAACAGAGAACTCCTTTTATATGACCAGAAGCATGTGAAGAGAGTTTTCAAGAGTTGAAGAAAAGATTAACGACAACTCCCGTGTTAGTATTACCACAAGAGGGTGTGGATTATGATATTTATACCGATGCCTCATTGCAGGGACTTGGTGCTGTATTAATGCAGTTAGGTAGAGTGATAGCTTATGCCTCTCGGCAATTGAAAGAGTATGAGACAAGATACCCTACACATGATTTAGAATTGGCAACTGTAGTCTTTGCATTGAAGATTTGGAGGCATTACCTTTATGGTGCTAAGAGTAATATCTACACCGATCATAAGAGTTTGAAGTATTTCTTTACTTAGAGGGAGCTGAATAAGAGGCAGAGAAGATGGTTAGAGCTGGTTAAAGATTATGAGTGTGAGATTAAGTATCAACCAGGGAAAGCCAATGTAGTAGCCAATGCTTTGAGTAAAAAAGCTTATTTGTCCCGACTCACTAAGCATAAAGAATTAATAGAAGAGTTGTGTAGAGAGCAGATTGAAGTGATTCTAGGAAAGATTGCCAGGTTAGAGGTTCAGTCTACCTTACTGGAAGAAATTAAGGAACAACAAGTAACTGATGAGTGGTGTCAAAAGATAATTCAGTTAGTGCAAGAGGGCAAGACGTCAGAGTTTTAGGTTTTGAATGGTGTTCTCCGTTTCAGGAATTGGTTGCGTATTCCTCAAAATAATGAGTTAAAGAAGAGAATTCTCATGGAGGCTCATGACACACCATACATTGCTCATCTTGGAGCAACCAAGATGTATCAAGATTTAAAGAAAGACTATTGGTGGCCAGGCATGAAGAAGGATATTGTAGAAATTGTAACTAAATGCCTGGTTTGTCAGCAAGTGAAAGTAGAACACCAAAGGCCATTAGGGTTGCTTCAGCCGCTTAGCATTCCTGAGTGGAAATGGGAGAGTATCTCGATGGATTTTATTACAGGTCTCCCTAGAGTGCATAAAGGATACAATACTATATGGGTGATTGTAGACAGATTGACTAAATCAGTCCATTTTCTTCCAGTAAAGAAAAGCACTACTTTAGATCAATTGGCCCAGATATATATATTAAAGAGATAGTGAGGTTACATGGAGTACCCAATACAATAGTGTTAGATAAAGATTCTAGATTTGTGTCAGCTTTCTGGATGAGTTTATAGAGAAACTTGGGCACTAGATTGGCTTTTAGTATCGCCTATCATCCTTAGACAGATGGTCAAACAGAGAGAATTAATCAAGTGCTTGAGGATATGCTAAGAGTCTGTTGTATGGATTATAGAGCATCATGGCATGAGATGTTACCCTTGGTGGAGTTTGCTAATAATAATAGTTACCAGTCTTACAATTCAGATGGCGCCTTATGAGGCTTTGTATGGTAGACGGTGTAGATCTCCACTACATTGGGATGAGATATAAGAGAAAGATGAGATGAATATAGCCCTTGGGCCAGAGATGACTCAGAAAATGATAGAAGATGTAAAGCTGATCAGAAGCAGAATCAAACAAGCCCAAGATAGACAGAAAAGCTATGTAGATCTGAAGAGAAAAGAAGTTGAGTTTGCAGTGGGTGATAAAGTTTTTTCTGAAAGTTTCCCCCTACAAACGGGTGATGCGTTTTGGGAGTAAAGGGAAGTTAGCACCGAGATATATTGGTCCATTTGAGGTGTTACAGTGAGTGGGAAAAATAGCCTACAGATTAGCACTACCACATAGCATGGACAAAGTGCATTATGTTTTCCATGTCTTGATGCTACGGAAATATGTAAATGACCCCTTCCATATACTAAGCATAGAAGACGTAGACTTGGAAGAGAATCTTGTGTATGAGGAGCGTCCAGTTCAGATTTTAGACAGTAAAATTAAAGAGCTCAAAAATAAGAGTATTTCGTTAGTGAAAGTTCTCTAGAGAAACCACAAGATAGAAGAAGCCACATGGGAGGTAGAGCAAGACATGCAAAACCGTTACCCGGAGTTGTTTGTGTGAATTTCGGGGACAAAATTCTTTTAAGGGGAGGAGAATTGTAACATCCACTTTGAGGTACACTGTTTACTCAAGTTTAATTGCCATTTTTAAATGTTTTTTGTTGGTTCTAAATTAGTTTGATATGTTGTGATGTTTCGATGTTTGTTTTGAGATATGTTGATATGTGTTGAAATTGCTTGGATGCCCTAAATTTGGCTAAGTCTTGCGGATTTTTGGAAATGCAGACTTCGCCGCAGCGAAGAGTCGGTTATTTTGTTTTGTGAAGTTTCTAGAGAATTTTTCTTTAGGGGCAAAGTGACAATTCTACCCCTAATTAGCAGGAAAAGTGGGGAGTGAAATGTAAGAAAAATACATTGAGAACACATGGGAGTTGGGGGTGTGAGTGCAAAGAATTAAAGGATAAAGATGAAATTTATAAGAAAGAGTAAGGGCAAAATAGGAAAGAGTGTTAATTATATGAGATAATAAGGGTGTAGTCTTCTAAACCCCTTCATTTTCCTTATTCCACCACCTCTTTCATTCTCCATTTTCTCTCAATTCTTCGCTCAATGATTTTTAAGGGCTTTTGGTTGAAAATTGATAGGGAGTTGATTCTAAGCAACAAGAGGTAAGAATCCTTGCTTTAGATATAAGAATTATTTATATAAGAGTTAAGTTCTTACTAAGTTTATGCTTAAGAAATAAGAGGAAGCTTAAGTCCAAAAAATCATTTAGTTTTTCAGCAAAGAATAGTCCCGGTTCCCAAATTCGATCAATCAATCCAGTGAAGAATCGGGCAGTACACAAGTACAGAGAAAAAAATAGTAGCTTGAGAGCTATGGTTGATGCAGTGATCTCGTTTGTGGTGAACAAGATTGGGGATTATCTCATGCAAGAAGCTGTGCGCTTCCAAGGAGTGAAAAAAGAAGTGGAGTCGCTAAAGAATGAACAGGAATGGATGCAATCTTTCCTCAAGGATGCAGAAAGAAAACAAGTTGATGATGATGTTATAAGGAAGTGGGTATCTGACATTAGAGATGTCGCTTATGATATTGAGGACGTCTTGGATACATTTGCGCTCAAAATCGAGGAAGAAGAGGCTTCGAATATAGTTCAAATCCATCAAGTAGAGATTCCGAAAAGAAGGAAGAGAAATTCCACTTCCATCAAGAAGTTTTCTTTGATTTTCAGTAAAGACTCAAGTCAGAAAACATTCAATCATAAGGACTCTAGTAGTCAAATAGAGTCCAGTAGCCACACAGAGCCCAGCAGCCATACAGTCACAGAGTCCAGTTTCTTCAGCAAAGGAGAAAAGGCTGTCAATCAGCGCAATATAGGCAAGAAGATCGAAGAGATCAGACAGAAACTTGGTGATATTTCTCGGAAACGTGAACAGTACCGCCTTGAGGATATTAACAAAGGTGAGGGAAAGGACAATGCTCTTTGCAGATTGAAGGAACTGAGAAGAGCCACCTCCTCTGTAGAAGATGACCATATTGTTGGCTTCGAGGATGATGCTGACAAATTGTTGGCTAAACTTCTTGGCGGGGGGCCGCGGAGAGGTGTGATTTCTATTTTTGGTATGGGTGGTATAGCTAAAACAACTCTTACTAAAAAGCTTTACCACAACTATGATGTCAAGAATAAGTTTCAGTCTCTCAAGATTACAAAACTGAAGATATTTTCCGAAGGATTATAAAATCTTTCCACAGCATGCTTGAAAGGGGAGATGAAGAATCTTTAAGAAGTGAGAAGAAGATGAGTGCAGAAGAGTTGGAGCGAGAGCACAAGATGATCAAGGAACGTCAATCTAAGGAGTTGGGGAAGATGAGTCAAGAAGATTTGGAGCGGTATCTTCGAAAATCTTTGAATGGACGCTCATATTTGCTAGTGATCGATGATGTATGGCATAAAGAAGCTTGGGAGGGCTTCAAAAGAGCATTTCCTGATAACAATAATGGTAGTAGAGTAATTATTACCACCCGTATCAGAGAAGTTGCTGAACGTTCGGACGGAAAAGCTCATGTCCATGAGCTTCGATTTCTAAACCCAAATGAAAGTTGGAAGCTTTTTTGTGATAAAGCCTTTCAAAAATCAAATGCAGATGAAGGATTAAAGAAGTTGGGAAGAGAAATGGTGGAGAAATGTAGAGGCTTACCACTTGCCATAGTTGTATTGGGAGGACTCTTGTCAACGAAAAAGCCTCAAGAATGGCGGAGGGTACATCATCACATTTGGCAACATCTAAGGGACGATTCAATTCAGATCTCCTTTTTGTTAGCTTTAAGTTTTAATGATTTGTCTTTTGAATTGAAGTTAAGTTTTCTCTACCTAAGTCTTTTTCCAGAGGATTTTGAAATCGATGTGGAGAAACTAATTCGATTACTAATGGCGGAGGGTTTCATAGAAGAAAATGAAGGTCAAATAATGGAAGAAGTGGCTGAGAGTTATTTAAAACAGTTGATTAATAGAAGTTTGGTGCAAATAGAGAAAAGATGTTGGGGGCGGATTGCCACATGTCGGGTTCATGATCTTTTGCGCGATCTTGCCATACAGAAAGCAAAGGAATCAAACTTCGCATACTTTTATGATGCAAACATACATTCAACTCCCCCTCCGGTCATATTATCTTGCCGAAGACAAGCTGTCTATTCAGAGTTTGAAACGCATTTGTGGTTTCAACACTACAATCAATTGTCGCGTTCCTTTCTCATCTTTAAGCAAAAGTGGGATGCATCACTCAAATTAACACAGCACTTACCACCCCTCTTCATCAAATTCAGACTGCTCAGAGTGCTCGACGTTGAGGGTTCTCCGAGTAAGAATATCGGACCGCTGAGTAAGAGAAGCTTATCTGAAGAGATTGGAAAGTTGATCCACTTGAAATATTTGGGGCTAAGGAATGCATACATATACCATTTTCCGTCATCCTTTGTCAACTTGAAGAGGCTGCAAACTCTTGACATATATGGTAATCAGTGGATTTTTCATGAAATACCAATTGAGATTTGTAAGTTGCAGGAATTGAAGCATCTAATTGGAAACTTTCGAGGATCATTGCCAGTAGACAATTTGACAAACCTTCAAACTCTCAAGTACATAAATATTGGATGTTGGAGTAAAATTAATCCTGAAAAGTTGGGTTCTCTTCGGGAGCTGCGGATCATATCGGATTGGGCATTACCAAATGAGTTTGATTTGAAACCAATAGGCAAACTAAAAAGCCTTCAAATCTTATCAGTTATGTTGCCGTTGCGGTCTGATACATCTTTTGCTTCATGGCAGGCACTTGCTCATTGCTCATGTCTTGTAGATTTGAGATTAAGTGGGAAGATAGAGGAACTACCAAGAAACATGGAGCAACTCTTACCAAATCTTGAATGTTTAAAGTTAAGAAGTTTATTTCTCAGGGATGATCCAATGGCCTTATTGGAGAATTTGCCAAACCTGATGATTCTCGTGTTAAACTTCGTTTCATATAGTGAAAAAAAAAATGATATGCTCGGCAAATGGTTTCCCTCGTCTTGAAATTCTACAATTTGATTGCGATGAATTCGAGGAGTGGCAAGTACATGAAGATTCAATGCTAATGCTTAGAGGCTTGAAGATTCCAGCGATCTCCCAGTTTAGAATTCCAGAAAGACTAAGATCAATCCCGCCCCCGGCTGAATGGGAATGTAAAGATGGCAGCGTACCTATTAATAACTCAAGCTACTTTCAACCCTGATTATTGTATGGGTAAATAAATTTCCTTTCAATTTCATTTTTTCAGGTTTTTTTCTTCATTTCTTGTTTCAATGCAGTTCATTGTTTTCTATATGCACTACTTTTCTTGCACATTGGTTTGTCTCCAAATGAAATTGTTTTTTTATGTTAAATGCATCAAATGCAAGCTACTTGCAAATGATATGATATAATAGCTATCAATAGCTAGCTAATGGTAAATGCATCAAATGCTATCAATAGCTAGCTGATAGTAAATAGAGCTTACAAATGGTGACCATTTAAAAATGTCCGGTCCTATACTTACCAATTCTCAGGACTTTTTGTGCATTTTGATTTCTCTGAATTAGACCCTTCATGTCATTATAAGATGACCTTTCTTTGCCAATTCCCTAAGACGATTCACTTTCTTCCTCATATCTAATGTTTCAGCTTCATTATTCATGATCACAATACTTTCTATCCAAGTCAATCATTTTCGTCTTAGGGTCCTACTAACCGATCAGCGGGCAGAGGTCCCACTCCTTGGTGAGCAGGCGGGGGTCATGGGGGCAGCGCCCCTGGGCCCGTAGGCAGTTTAGACATTTTCTATGTATAACCGCTATAGGATTTCTTTAAGTCATTAATTCCTTATTGGGTTTGAACATAGGAATATAAATCTTCGTAAAACTAGGTTTTGTCACTTTAAACCTAGTATATAAACATATTTTTCTCTTGTTATGAGTGTGATAGCAATCATAGGGCAGTTCTGTTAGACCGGTCGTCACGGTCACAAAATTAAACCTAAATACCGTAGTTAGCGGTAAGCAGGGTCGAATCCACAGAGAGCAAGACTAANTTCGAGGAGTGGCAAGTACATGAAGATTCAATGCCAATGCTTAGAGGCTTGAAGATTCCAGCGATCTCCCAGTTTAGAATTCCAGAAAGACTAAGATCAATCCCGCCCCCGGCTGAATGGGAATGTAAAGATGGCAGCGTACCTATTAATAACTCAAGCTACTTTCAACCCTGATTATTGTATGGGTAAATAAATTTCCTTTCAATTTCATTTTTTCAGGTTTTTTTCTTCATTTCTTGTTTCAATGCAGTTCATTGTTTTCTATATGCACTACTTTCTTGCACATTGGTTTGTCTCCAAATGAAGTTTTTTTATGTTAAATATATCAAATGCAAGCTACTTGCAAATGATATGATATAATAGCTATCAATAGCTAGCTAATGGTAAATGCATCAAATGCTATCAAAAGCTAGCTGATAGTAAATAGAGCTTACAAATGGTGACCATTTAAAAATGTCCGGTCCTATACTTACCAATTCTCAGGACTTTTTGTACATTTTGATTTCTCTGAATTAGACCCTTCATGTCATTATAAGATGACCTTTCTTAGCCAATTCCCTAAGACGATTCACTTTCTTCCTCATATCTAATGTTTCAGCTTCATCATTCATGATCGCAATACTTTCTATCCAAGTCAATCATTTTCATCTTAGGGTCCTGCTAACTGATCAGCAGGCGGAGGTCCTGCTCCTTGGTGAGCAAGCGGGGGTCATGGGGGCAACGCCCCTAGGCCCGTAGGCAGTTTGGGCATTTTTCATGTATAACCGCTGTAGGATTTCTTTAAGTAATTAATTCTTTATTGGGTTTGAACATAGGAATATGAATCTTTGTAAAACTAGGTTTTGTCACTTTAAAACTAATATATAAATATATTTTTCTCTTGTTATGAGTGTGATAGCAATCATAGAGCAATTCATTCATTGTAAATGAGAGAATTGAGGAGGTATTGTAATAATATTGACTCGATTGGACGTAACCCATATTGGGTGAACCAAAGTAAATTACGCATGTTATTTTCTCTTTGTTTATTGTCTATGATTTGTTGTGCTGTGATTTTATTTTCGCTGGTGTCTCTATTTCATTAAATAAGGCCAAGTGACCATTGGTACACCAGCACTCACCCCCTGCATGGTAGAGTTTTGGGCCAAGTAACCCTTCAATGGCTGGATGTTCAAGTATTAAATTCTGTGGTGCCCAGCCACCTATAATCAGTCCTCTTCTACTTACATTGTCCTGGAATTTATCTGTTAACCAGGATTCATCATCTTTAGTGTCTAAAACTTTTCCAACAATCCACTCAAACAAAGGAGTGGTCTGATTCTTTAACTGCACTAGCTCTTTCTGTTATTTGAGTTTTGCTGAATCTTGCGTCAAGCTTCCCAGACAAACAGATGTAGAGAACTAGCCTGAAGGGATTTGTGTTTCTGAAGACAAATTCAGCTAACAATAATCAATTTTACATCCACTTTTATATTAAAAAAAATAATTTCTTATACAACCCTATTTTAAGAGTCAAATAATTTCTTTTACTGTTGTTTCTTTCGACTTTTCTTTTCATTTCCGCATCATTGCCTGGTCACGTATCCTTTGACCAGAAATTATGAGCTTGATTTCTTTATCATTGTATGTTGGTGATGATCCTAAGTATTTTAGGTTAATCTTTTACGGTTTCACATATTGGGGTCTATATATACGTTTAAACTTCGCGTAATTTGTAAACTTTTATTTCAATAGCAAGGTTGTGCTTTGATTTTGATTATGTTTTCATGAAGTTGGTGAGATATCTTTTGATCTCATTTGTATCTTGATGAGAAGTTGAAGGACACAATTGTAAACTTTTAAAAGTTGATAATTCCAGACATTATTCTTTTAGTTTCTTTGAGTCAAAGAGGGGGTAACATTATGAACACTTTAAACCAAGATCTCGAAATTTGTCATGATTTGATCATCAATTAACAGCTTTGTTATCTTACCCAGAAATTCATGATACAAAATTTGTGTTGGATGTCTTAACAAATTACGTATGAAAATGAGTATAATTTTCTGGAGAAGAAATACCGCAGATTTTTTCTTGAGTAGAAATCTTCCGTTATAATTAGTATAATTTTCACAGATAGCTTAACGTCCACAGTCATTTGGTTTATTGAATTAAAAATCTAGAATTTGTGTTACGATAACTTGATCTCGCACGAAGTTTTTAGTGTAAACAAATAAGGAAATAGTAAGGAAATATTTTTTTTNAGGGAAGCCAAAATGGAGCCTCCGATCCAGACACTGTATTTCCTCTCCGGTGGTGCTACCACCTTGATCTTCATGCTACTTGGGGCTAATGCTGTGATCTCCTTGCTCATTCTATCGGCAATGCCTGGGAACATAGTGGAGCCACCGCTGAGAACAATGTTGCCGTAGAGATCCTTCCTGATATCAACATCACACTTCATGATAGAGTTGTATGTGGTTTCGTGAATGCCAGCAGCTTCCATTCCAATCATGGATGGTTGGAAGAGGACTTCAGGACACCGGAACCGTTCAGCCCCGATAGTGATGACCTGTCCATCAGGTAGTTCATAGCTCTTCTCTACAGATGAGCTGGTCTTTGCCGTCTCTAGCTCTTGTTCGTAATCAAGAGCTATGTAGGCTAGTTTCTCCTTCATGTCCCTTACAATTTCCCGTTCAGCTGTTGTGGTGAAAGAGTAACCACGCTCAGTCAAGATTTTCATAAGTGCGTCTGTAAGGTCACGACCTGCCAAATCGAGACGAAGAATGGCATGTGGAAGGGCATAGCCTTCATAGATGGGAACTGTGTGACTCACACCATCTCCAGAGTCCAAAACAATACCTATACAGTAAATCACGTACACAATCATAACACTTGTTCATTAAGAGACATCATTGCTTTCAAAATAAGTTGAAATGTAATAATTAGGCTATAGAATCAAGTATTCTTTAACAAGAAGTAAAACAATTGAAAGAAGAATGTCTTATTCAACAATCTTATGCATTAATGTCTAGTTCACATTAGATCAAATGGTCACCATGATTACATATCAAATTCCCAAGAAAGTTGAAACTAGTAGTGGACATGTGAAATGAATAATTAAATGATTTGCTTAAAATGTACACGTTAAGGAAGACTATTAATGAGAGCTCAGAACAGGAAACATTGAAATCATACTGTTGCATCAAAAATTGTAATAATGCATTGGATGTAACACTCTTAGCATCAATAATCTTTCTTAATTTGTATCCTTGAGGCATAAAATATCATGATCCGAAAAGATCAAGCATGAAACTGGATGATCTCATGTTTCAAGCATAGCCTAAATTGTGTGAAAACCCATGCAATTATCACATTGAACAACAAAGAAACAGGTCGCTAATGAAAACACTTACCAGTTGTACGACCGCTAGCATACAGAGAAAGAACAGCCTGAATAGCAACATACATAGCAGGAGTGTTGAAAGTCTCAAACATTATCTGGGTCATTTTCTCACGATTAGCCTTGGGATTCAGAGGAGCCTCAGTGAGAAGAACCGGATGCTCCTCAGGTGCCACACGCAGCTCATTGTAAAATGTATGATGCCAGATTTTCTCCATATCATCCCAGTTACTAACAATCCCATGCTCAATTGGATATTTTAATGTCAAAATACCCCTCTTTGATTGAGCCTCATCTCCTACATAGGCATCTTTCTGCCCCATCCCCACCATCACTCCTGTGTGGCGAGGGCGTCCCACAATACTCGGAAACACCGCCCTTGGTGCATCATCTCCGGCAAATCCAGCCTAAACATACATTATTGCATAAATTAAGCTTTTATGCATCAAATCAAACCCTCAAGAAAGTTCAAATTTTCCAAAAATTTAAGTACTCACCTTCACCATTCCAGTCCCATTGTCGCAAACAAGAGGCTGAATATCCTCACCATCCGCCATTCTGTATGATCCTCAGCTGCAAAAACACCAAAAATAAAAATCACATATTGATCCATCAATAATAGCTTTTTTCTCATTTTCACTCCTACATCATCATCATAAACAAGAAGTAACACATACAACAACAAGAATAAATTTACCGGTCCAGTAACCTTACCAGATCTCCACTATAGCTATAACAAATCATCAAATTACAAGATCTACTAATCTATACATCTTGTATACAAAAATCTAAACAAAAAAGAAATCAAAATCGAAATAAAAATAAAAAAAGAATATCGAAAATAAAATTAAAAGAACTAATAAAATTAGTAATAATTTCTTCTCATTTTTACTCCTACCTCATTACAATTACGGTAATTTAGTTACATTGAAATCTTAAAACACGATATATACTGCAACAGTCGTCCTGATATTACCGGTCCGGTACCGTTAGCGTGCTGACTTTTTTTTATTTTTTTGAAAAATTTGAAGATTATATCATCAAATTGTTAAACAAAAATGAAAACAACATCGAAATCGAAATTGAAAAAAAAAAAAAAATAGAAGAAGATTGAAAATCAAATTCGAAGAACTAATCATCATTTCTTCTCATGTTCACTCCATCGCTACAATTACAGGAACGTTACCGGATAGTACTTTCAACACATTGAAATCATAAAACATGATATGTACTGTAAACAGCTCGCTCTGATAGTACCGTTCCGGTAACGTTACCGTGCCGATGTCTGTTTCTTTTTTATTTTTCTTGGGAAAATGTTGAAGATCATATCATCCAATTACAAGATCTACTGTAAACGAAATCTAAACAAAGAAATCAAAATCGAAATAAAAGGAAAAATAAATCAAAATCGAGAAATAATAACAAAATCACCTTGGATTTGAAGTTTTTTTTCCTTTTTCGTTCTTCTCGACTGCGGCGTGGGCTGTGGGTTGGTTTGTGTGAGTGAAGGTACCCGCCTTCTAGTTTTAAAAAAGAAAAGTTCGTGTAAATGAAATGAAATTCATCTTAAATTAACCTCAAATGCATTCTAATCGAATCCTGGCCGTCCCTTTCCCACCATCACATCATCAGCCCACCCACATTCTTTCTTCGTCATCGTGCTTACAGCTGGCTTGCCTTTCGGTTGTTTCAGTTTTAAGGACGATTTTGTCCTTTTCTTTTGTCCTAATGCCTTACCACTCCCTTTACTCGCCCGTTAAGGCCATAATAGGCAATTCTTTTCCCATAAATTTATTGAATATTCTTGTAAATTTTCTGTTTTCTTTGTAGTTAATTTCGGTACTTAAATGTAATTTTACAGTTTTTATTTATAGTTATTTCCACAGATACCCTGACCTTTGAGTTGAACATGAAGTGGGGATACGGTGGAAAATTATAAGATTCCCAGGGGTAAATTAGTCCTTAGAAGTGGACCCAACTTAAAAAGAAAATTTTTTTCTCTAATTTTTAGAAGCTTTATTATTCTTTTTTCTTTTTCCATAACTTTATTGTGGGGATGAGTACATGGAAAAAGCGCCACTGCCCGCTCAGCATTCCGTCTCCAACTGTCCAGAGATCATGTCGGTGTGTTTGCCCACCTGCGGTCGGGTCTACTGACACCTGGCCTCATCTCACCTTAATCGTCGTCCATTAATCAGAGTCAGTTGAAACAGTCAAACATTTTACGGTCAGTGATCCATTATAGACTCTGATTCATTACGTGCCATGCATAAACCAGTGGTTAAGCACACAACGTGGTCACCCTTTCCCTGAATCCGAACTAAATGGTTGACCACTTTTTATCAGCGGATTTTACTCTAATATTGGATCTTAAATTTTATTCATTGGATTGAATATTTCGACCGGGTTTTTTTTGTTAATAAAAAGGAATAATATTAGAAAGTGGATCTTCTCAGTTCTCACTATGTTTGGTGTCATAATTTTGACGTTGATTAGTGGGTTATACTGTATTATCAGTTGGATAATATTACTGAATTATTACTAATTAAATTAGTGGGTTATACTACAGTATCGGTCAGGTAATATTACTAAATTTTTACTAGTTTGATATAACTTTTGGATTAATTAGTATTTTTTCCAAAAAAAAAAAAATTGAACAATGTTAGAAATCAGATTTTCTCAATGCGCTCGATATCATAATTTTTCGTTGATTAACAGGTTATATAATAGTAATGTTTCTAAATGTAAGTATGTAATTATCCTGATACAATCTTTAGATAAATCATAAATGAACAATAATGTTATAAATAATATTTTCTCATTGTGCTTGATATCGTAACTTCTCCCTTGATTAACTGGTTATACTATAGTATTAAATCGATAAAATTACTAAATGTGAATAGTCTGATACAATCTTTAGAATCTTAGATCAATTTAATTCTTTTTTTGAAATTCAAAAAGGAAATAAAATATATTAAAAATTAGACTTGTGTGCGCTATATATACTCAGTCTCATAATTTTTTCTATCAGGTCCCTATGATTCTAGATCGATAACGTTATTAATCTTGAAAAATGAGGCTAATATATAATGCTAATCTAATAGTTTTTAACAATTAATATTTTTTTTATTAAATTTAATGAGACGATAAAAGACATTGAAAAATTCTGGTAAGATTGATAAAAAAGAAATTAAAAAAAAAAAATTATTCTTTGCTACCAACTTTGTATGATGAGGAACTTAAAAAATGGGATTAACTTTAATCAAATATGCTTAACAAGGAACAAACATGATTAAATAAGGTAGTAAATTTTGGATTTTTGACTACTTTATTCATGTGATTAATTTAAATAATTAATAAAAAATTAATTAATTTTTTCTTTATAATAGTTATCATTTCAAGTTTGGTCCCGCACGTATGCAAAGAGAGACTTTGATGATGAGCCAGCTACTCTTTTCAAGAACAGAAATTTTTATTGTTTAAAGTTAAAAAATAAAAATCAACAAAAATCTGTTTTATATATATAATTTTTTAGATACAGACATTCCGAAGTTTTTGACATGTAAATCAAAGGTTAGGGATTAGTCGTTGGCTTTCATTTTTTAAAAATTTAAGACATCCGCATTAGAGATGATTATATATATCAGTATATATATATATATATATTAGAAAAATCTTATGTGTAGACATCTCTAAGCTTTTAACATATAACGGATTAAGGGTTAGAAACTGTTGATGCGTGATTCTAACACCAACTAATCGATACGTGCGTAACGTTGATTGGTCAAGAGACACGCGTGATTATGGATAGAAAATGTGAAATAAATGCAACGAGAGCTTTTTAAAGTGGTTCGGATGTTAAGGTAGCAAGTTCTACGTCCACTGATTTGTATTAGTATTGTGGGTCAGGTCGCAACAGCGGACTGACTTATAAATGATTAAGAAAAGTAAATACAAAGTTTTCAAGAGAGAGAGAGTTCAAGTGTAAAAATGGCCGAATCCTCTTAATGAAGGGGTCTTCCTCTTTTTATAACGAAATAAAGGCGTGTAATCATCATTAAATCCATAGGTTGGTGTGAGTGTCAGGACATAATCTGGCTTTACGTCCCATTGCCCACTTCTTAAGCTGATTTCATGCGATTTATTGCAGGGAAATGGACACGTGGGAGCTCCATAGCGTTTGACAGACCTGACGTGCGCTTACCGTTCTGACAGGAGCAAATCACACTTCATCACGTGACTTCCCACGTTAGCCTTTGATTTTCCAGGCATAACAGAAACTGGTCACTGGGTTTGATTTTTTGCACTTTGTGAAGCTAATGATTGGCGTTGGGGTTTGCATTAGACGCATAGTATGATGTTTGTATTTTGTGACTTGTTTGGTTTTGGTTCACTCGTTAAAAACTTCATATGGTAAGAAGAGATGTATAAGATTGTAGGTTGTAAATAAATCCCCCATACAAAAAGAAAATCAATAAAGATTTATAACAAGGGAACATAGTTATATAGTTTACAAATCAAACATCACATTTTTGCAGTCCTAGTACTTGCTCTCTTCTTTTCAGGTCAAAATATTTGATCGTTTATTAAAATCTTAGGTAGATAAAACATATTATGTTGTTTATATTATTAGACGGGTGTACAGATAACATGATGTTATTGTTTCACCGAGATTCTTTCATAGTTATTAAAATTGTATTGTAACAATGGTTGTCGCAACTGCATTCGCGGTACGTCAAGTCGATGCCGATGCTAATCCATGGAAAATTTTTGTAGAGGTGTTATATTATAAGGGATGTAAGGATGCTGACTGTAAGCAAAAGTGTTGTGCAAAACACAAGTCAGCCTCTGGGTTTCAATGCTTTGCAAATCTTTTAAACATTGATCTTACTTGTGTTTGCTTCTATATTTGTTGATGATTTGTTAGTGACTTATATATTCAATAAAAATTAAAGTTTTATTTAGATTTTTTTTTTTTTTTTCACTAGAATGAAATTACTGTGTTATTGGCTTGATGATATTGTCAAAGATGTCTCACTATATTCACTCAAAATAATAATTTCCACATCCAATTTTTTAAGTCTACTTATAAATATAAATTTTTTTAATATTTGTTAGAGTAAACAACGTTTTCCCACCCAAGGTTTGCCTTAATGACACTTTTCCATCCAAAAAATTTCAAAATACCACTTTCTCAACCAAAGTTAATATTCCGTTACTATCCAAAGTCGATTCCGACTGCGAAAATTCTCTCTATCACTAACATTTAAACCTCCAGTCTTCTATCTACAGAACTCCCCTCACTCCAACACCTAATTTCTTGTCAATTGTCAGTCACTAAAAAGCTAGAATTTATTGTTCTTAACTGGTTTTCAACTAATTCTGACGGCGAATATTCAATTGGTCATTGACATTCAATCCACCGGCCTCCAATCTACAAAAACTTTATTATCCTAGCTCCTGGTAACTTGTCGAACAACAATTGAGAAAATAAAGTGTATTTTCGGTATTAACGGAATATAAACGTTAGATGAGAAAATCTAAAAATGATATTTTGAAACCTGGTTGAGAAAGTGTCATTAAGGCAAACCTTGGATGTGAAAACGTCGTTTACTCTATTTTTTATCCATCTTTTTTTTTTTTTTTTTTTTTTGGGCTAAGTAAATAAATTGTATTTTTTATCCATCTTCAATCAACAAATTACATATTAATTATATTTTTACGAAATTATTCTACCAAAAATAGTAATATAGTTATGTTTAGAATTAAAATATATATTGGTTGTACTTTATAATATATTCATTGAATTAAAATTAAAACAATATTTGCTTATTAATAGTAATATGGTAATACAATATAAAATATTGGATAATAATAATAATAATAAAAAAAAAAAAGATGAAGCTTAATTTGCTTGAAATCATCTAAAGGGTGAGTTCGGATTATTACCATATATATATACACCAAGACTTTGATTTTTGCACTTTGTGAAACCAACGACTAGTCACTGGATTTTGGTGTAGACGCTGACTTTTGATTTTTACATTTTGTGTTTCATTAGGGTATGATTCGCTCATTCACACGTTAAAAGCTTTTGGACATCCGCAAAGAAGAAAATCTATAGTAATATATATATAAATAAAGGAATATAGTTTGCAAATAAAGGAATATGGTTAGACAGTTTGTATATATTATAAATAAGGAAACCACAAAAAAAAAAAAACATATTTTTGTAGGTTCCAAATTAGCCCACCCATACAGGAAAATTTTTTTTTATAGGTTCCAAATAATAAATAAGGGAAAATATTTATTTAGTTTTCAAATAAACCCCACCCATATGTATGGCAAGAAAATCTATATAAGATTGTATTCTAAACAAGGGAACATATATAGTTGTATATATACTTTGTAAATAAACCAATCAAGCAATAAGCAATCAAACATCTCAAAATCACATTCCCACAACACTTGAACTCAAAGAAAAAACATGAAGACCATCCAATTTTCTGCCATCCTATTGCTCGCTCTCTTCTTTTTTGGTAAAATATATCTCACTCTTTTATTAAATTCTTACATAGATCTGACGTATTATGT